AACCACGCTCTGCGCCCCGCTTCCATCAGGTCGAGTGACGCGGGGGGGACATGGGAAAGTGGTGACACAGCTGGTTCTGGCCCCGCCGCCGCCACGCCCTTTCCTCGATGCAGGCCCTCGCCGCGAAAAGCAGCTGCGTACGGCTGCTTCGCTAGCTGCTCGTTTGGCATCCTCCCCTGTCAGAGTCCGTTCCGATCCGATCGACCCGATTCGATGTCGGATCCGGCCGGCCTGGCCCGATTCGATTCCAGTATTCCGGCGATCTGGTGCTGGCCGATATTTGCATGGTGTTGCTGTGCAGCCTGGCGCAGCCGATCCGATTCATTCTGATAACGTGCCGATGCGGCGAGATCCGAGGCATATCCCTAGGGATACGATTCCTGGATCCGATTTCCCCCCCCGCCTTTCCGCCCGCATCGCCAAGCGACGGCCGCATGGCCCATGCTTCCGCTGGACAAATGAGGACGGGGCTAGGACCAGGATAAATCCGTTCCAGGGCGTTCCGGAACGCTCTCAGAGCGTTGCGGAACGCTCTGAGCAGGCCGCGGCGCCCAAGACATCCTCCAGAGCCGCCGGATCTCAGAAATCTCCGAGTGATCTTCACCCTGTTCTATCCTCGTGCTGGCTTCGTCTTAGGAGTGATGGAGCCCCGGCCCTGCCGCCGCCCTCCTGGAGGAGGCGCTCCCGGGCCCGCGGGAAACGAGAAGCGGCATAGTGGCGCTTGTCCTGTCCATTCGGGGGGGCCCCCAAGCGGTGTGGTGACCCCACCGCGGTGTAAGCCAGCGGAGACCTGCAATCACCGAACGGTGCTGGGACTCGGGCCGGTCTCCGAGGACAGCTCGGGCGACTGGGGCCTCCCGGGCCCCACAACCGTGCGGTGACGGACCGCGCGGTGAGGCCGCCGGGGATTCCGAGGTCACCACGCGGTCCGTCACCACACGGCTTTCCCAGACCCCCGACATCTTGATTTTTTTACAACGTCGCCCCCCGGAAGTTTGGACCCCTTCACCGGGACCGGTTTTTCACCCTGCGTCGTTGTCTTCCGGGGCCTAGCTGGTAGGGGCCTCCGGAGGCCGAACATGGCGAAAGACCTCCCATTGTGGTTTTGTTCACAGCGCGAGGGGGTCTGGGTTTGGGGCCCCGGAGTCCTGGTGCCCCCCCCCCTGGGGGCCGCGCCGGCCCCAGGCCCCAAGCGAATGCAGCCATTTTGGCTCCCGAGGGCGCGCAGCAGGGGGGCGCGCCGCGGGAGCGGCGCCGCCCCACGGCCGCCGCCGCCGCGCAACGCGGAGGCCCAGGCCTTGCACACCTTCTCCGTGTCCTCCTCCCGCCTCAGCTCCCCCCCCCGCCGCTGCCCCAGCTCCCCCTACTCCCTCTTCTCCGTCCTCCTCCTCCTCCTCCTCCTCTCTTCCTCCCTCCTCCCTCCTCCTCCTCCTCCCTCCTCCTCCTCCTCCCTCCTCTCCTCCCTCCCTCCTCCTCCTCCCGCCCCCCTCTTCCTAGTCATCTCCTCATCCTCCTCCTCCTCCTCTCTCTCCTCCTCCTCCTCCTCCTCCTCCTCATCCTCCTCCTCCTCCTCTCCCCGCCCCCCTCTTCCTAGTCCTCCTCTTCCTCCTCCTCCTCCTCCTCCTCCTCCTCCTCCTCCTCATCCTCTCCTCCTCCTCCTCTCCCTCTCCCCTCCCCATCCTCCTCCCCTCCTCCTCCTCCTCTCCTCCTCCTCCTCCTCCTCCTCCCTCCTCCTCCTCCTCCTCTTCCTCTGGGCACGCTCGACCTCCTCCTCTTCCTGGATGTGTTGCCACACCTTCTTCTTCTAGCCAGCCTAGGGGCTGGCTTCTTTTTCTTTTTACCGTACTCGGCGGTGGCGCAAACAGCAGTCAACCTCGGCATCAGAGCTGCCCCGACACGGATGGAGCACGCCTGGGGCAAAGCCCGCGGCGAATTACAATTTGTTCCTCCCCCCTCCTCTCCTCCTCCTCCTCCTCCTCCTCCTCCTCTCCTCCTCCTCCCCCTCCTCCTCCTCCTCTCCTCCTCCCCTCCTCCTCTCCTCATCCTCCTCCTCCTCCTCTCCTCCCCATTCCTATCCTTCATCCCCTCTCGCCCTCCTCATCCTCCTCTCCCTATCCTCCTCGGCCTGTTCTCCTTCTCCTCCTCCTCCCTCCTCTCTCCTCCTCCTCCTCCTCCTCCTCCTCCTCCTCCTCGTCCTCCTCCTGTTTATGACGGAACTCTCCAGGCCATCGATACTCCCCCAGTCAGGCGGGGCAATTCATGATTCAGGAGCCCGCTCAACAATTGGACCGAGCGCAGATCACCACCACTGTATCATGATTGGCGTTGCGGCTTGAGGGTCAGGATGTCAGACGCATGTGGCGCGTTCCATTATCTACGGCATGTTATGCGTCCTGGCACGTCGGTCGGGTGCGCAACAGGTTGTCTCACACACGTGGACTTCAAACGTCAATTATCAGGGAGGCTGGCATGCTTCCGACCATGTAGGTAAACATGCCCCATGCCTTGTCAAGAGGTTGTCGCCGATTCGGCTGTACTCGTTCCTCGCTCCCGGCTAGCCTCGCAAGGCTCCCAGGCCTCGACCCTCTATCCGTCCGGGGCGCAGACGCCCAGCCCAGGGGTCTGGGCCCGGGCCTCCAGGCTGGGCGTGCGTGCCCCGTCCAGTCGGGGACCCAGGCGTTGGGGGCGGTCTCGATGGCTTCTTCGGCCTCGTACCCTGGTGGCGGCCGAGCGCCGCTGAAGAGGAGGGGAGGTCAGAGGAGGAATCAGGTACGGGTACCGCTCGCTGTCCCTCGCCGCCACGGCTGGATTCGCTCTGCAATTCCGGTCAGAATGTGCCCCATGAGAGGTCTGGGGAGTATCTTCAGCTTGTGATTGACAAATCCGTGGGGGGCGCGTGTTTCAAACAAAAGCTTTCTGTGCTCGGGCGAATCGCGGAGGTGGCGCCCGCCAAATTGAAACACAACAGCGGCGGCGCCGGTGATTAGCGCCGACGCCCGGCCGCCGGCGAGAAGGCGACCGAAACAGCACAGACTGGGGGAGGAGGGGGGCGGGAGGCAAGGGCGGCAGAAGCAGGGACCGTGAGCCAGGTCGTGACCTGTCCGAAATGAAAAAAAAAAAAAAAAAAAAACTGTCGGCGCTTGCCCCGCATTTCCCGTGCTTTTTGTCGAATCGATGCGGCTCTTCTGCCCTGGCCGCGAGCAAGGCGGGCTGGACGAAACGGGGGCGTGGCCAAGCGGGGATTCGCAAATCAGCTCACGTTGCTGACTTTCCGAGCGCCTCCTGGCGCCGAAAGCGGCCATGCATCGAGGACTGGCCCCTCGGCGGGGCAACCGAAACCAGCTGCGCACAGCAGGTTTCGCAACCCCCCTTGCCTTCCTCAGCTTTTCGTCCGACCAGAGCAAGGCGGGCAGCCTTCCCCCCCCGGTCTGTCGCGGTCTGCCTGTAGCCGTCGACGGCGACGACGACGAGTAGGCCCGGCGTAGTCGATGACGACGACGACGACGACGACGAGGACGAGGACGAGGACGGCGGACGGCGGACGGCGGACGGCGACGACGACGACGACGACGACGACGATGACGACGACGACGACCACCACGTGCGGATGACGACTACGCCAGAGAGGGGGGGGGAAGTTCGCTTCGGATGTATACGACCCCCAGAACAACTTTTGTACTAAAGGCAATCCTTTTGAGGCTGTCACGCAGGGGGGTACACGATACCTTCGGCGGTGCCCGCGACAACCACTTCTGGCGCGCGCGATGAAAAAATGTTTCGCGCCCCGCAGGGTCTATTCATCGTCGCCCGGCTGCACATGCTGATCACAAGCTGACATTCGCGGTATCGGCACCTTGTTTCGGAGGTTGCTAAAGCTGTCCTTGGCCCGAGGTGCCCGAGGTGGCCCTGGCCAGAAGTTACAAAAGGTGGCCTTCTGGGCCTCGCGAGGGGTGCTCTGGGTGCCGCGGGGGCCTCGTAAATCCTGGGAGCACTTTGGACCAGGGGCACATCTAGCGACGCCCGATGTTGTCCCCCCAGGAGCGGGGGAGGGTGGGACCCAAGCCTGGGCGCTTCGGAGGAGAGCGCACGGCGGCTTTTTGCGCCCCCGACGCGCCAGCCTCGGGAGGCCCGCTCCTGGGCCCAGGGGGCATCAGAGAGAACGCCCACGGCAGAAGAAGGAAAACAGCATTACCTGTCAGTCGTTGGAAATAGTTATTTTTGGACACCTATAGACCCCATTCTACTTCGAGCGCCCCCTTACTTCAAGAACCGATGCGTTTTTGTCTGTGTTTTGTGATTGTCTTGGAGAGCCAGAACCCAATGTATTTGACCCGCTTTCGTGCTTCTTGTTTCCATGTTTTTCTCCCGACTGGCGGGTAATCGGAGACCTGGAGGTCGGCTCCCACACGAATATCGGCGAGCTACCGCCACCCAGGGAAGATGATCCCGATCTCGGCGATGGTGGCAACACTCGAGCTTCTTAGCTGGCCGAAAGGTTGCCACCACCACCCACATCTAATATCACCGCCCCTGGTGGAGACACCCCCTTCGTGCTGGTGTCAGTGCCGGACTGCAGGCCTCAAACAGGACTGAATATTTAGCCGTGCCTAGCCTGATCTGGCCGCTACATTGTCGGTGGCAATTCGTATCCATAGGCCCGTTCTTCCTACGTTTCCCTATTATTCCTCGTCGTCGTCCACCTCCTCCTCCTCCTCCTCCTCCTCCTCCTCCTCCTCCTCTTCCTCCTCCTCCTCCTCCTCCTCCTCCTCCTCCTCCTCCTCCCTCTTCTTTTCCCTGTGAGCCCAACTCTGGAGCTGCTGCTGCCTTTTGCCCTCGTTGCCTCCCCCCGTGCACGGCGCGAGCGGCGGCCACGGCGGCCGCACTCGCCGTCGCGTGTCTATAGGACGAGCAGCGGGCAGGAGCCGCGGGAGGCCCCCCGGGGCCCTCCGTCCTGAAGCAGCGCGAGTCCGCGGCGTCGGAAGGGGGGGGCCCGGGTGCAGGCGGCCATGCCGGAGATGCCCGCCGAGGCGGAGGGCCGGAAGGCCGCGGCCGCCGCGGGGGCCCCGGCCGCCGAGCCCCCGAAGAAGAAGGCGAAGAAGGCCAAGAACGCCGAGGAGCGGTACGGTCGTGGCGGGCACAGTTCGGGTATAGCCAGGGCCCCGGGTAAGGGGACCCGGTGAGTGGTAGGGCCCTGGGGCCCCTCAATTGGCCAGATTCACTGAACCAGGTTTGCCGTAAGTGGTGTTCTTCGGGCGACGGCAATTCCGGTTAGTGGAAATGGGGCGGGGGGGCGCCCCCGGTACAAATCTCTAAACCAGGTTCCACGAAACCCAGTTCTGCCAACGCCCGAACAGTGGAAGCCAATGCCAAGAAGCACCTTGCTTGCTTTCAGGGTGCCCTGGGCTTCTCGAGTTTCGATGGTTCTGCTATGGAAAGCGTGACGCTCCCACACCAAGAAGAGATGGACCCCCTGTGGAAGGTTTCTTGTGGTCGAACTCCTACTGTACGGAAAGAACTGTCACTGGGCACGAAGATTTGGTAAGGCTTCGATTTGCCCCCCCCCAAGTAGTCCCAGCTGGCCTTCACAGGCTCCCCGAGTAGTCTTGTCCCGGCTGGCCTCAGCGCCTCAGCAGACGTAGCCCGGGGCGGTCTTAGCACCTCAGCCTTGGGGCGCGGAGCGCCCCAAGGGCGTCGCGGAGGCGTCGCCCGGATGTTGAGACCGCTCCGGGCTACTCGGAAGGCCTGCTCAGGCCAGCCGGGACTACTCGGAGAGCCTGTTGAGGCTGTCTGAGACTACCTGCAGGGGCTGTCAGTGCGCAGCCCGAAGCGTTCCCAAACAGGAACGGAAATAACGGGCACGACGACCGACAGCATTTCCTGTTGGGTTGAGCAGGGCTCGCTGTCGGTGTCGCCGCGGGCGCTGTACGATTGAGAGCCCAGATCGCCTGCCAAGCAGCGGCCGCTGTCGGTTTGAGCAAACCTTGACGCTGGGCGTCATGCCCAGTGTTTCCGTGCCCATGTCTGGCGTGCCACACGAGGAGAAGAAGGAGGAGCGCCAGATCAGGTTCAGGAACTACCAGGCCAGGACGCCCGAGCTGCGCGACCTCGCGCTGCCCCGCGTGACGTCGGCCGAGATCGAGGACGAGATCGACGCGGAGATCGCGGAGGCCATCAGCGCCGCCGAGGACCAGGAGGCGGTGCTCGCCATCGCCCCCCGCAAGCCGAACTGGGACCTGAAGCGGGACGTGGAGCGGAAGATGCAGGTCCTGCAGGCCCGCACCGACCGGGCGGTGGTGCAGCTCATCCGCCAGCGGATAAAGGCCGCGCCAGCGCGCCCAGGGGGGGGGAAGGCAGAGGGGGGGGCCTGGCCCTCTCGAGGACGGCTCGGAAGGCCACCCGCTTCCTGACGGGCCCGTCCGAGCCCTCTCCTCAGGGGCAACGATAGGGGGGGATAGGCATAGCGGGGGGATGTATCGATCCCCAATCGCCCACTGATCGCCGAGAGGGGCCCGATAGCCCCTGCCCGCCCAGGAAGGTGCGGATCCACCAGCGGGGGCCCGTCGCCGATCTATTGGCGATGTATCGCCGATTCCATGTCGATGCACTCCCCCCCTATGCCAGTTCCCCCCCTATCGTTGCCCCACATCTCCGAAGCCACAGGGGCGGCTTCTCAGAAGGCCCGGGGGGATTCTCAGGAGCCCCGCCGCCTTCGGAGAAGGCCTGCCCCCTCTCGGCCGACTGGTGGCTTCTGGGTCGTCCCTCAGCTCTCCCGCGGCCGTTCCGGACGATCTGGGCACCCCGGGAGCGCGCTTTCGGCAAGGCGAAGCTGCTGGAGGGCTCCCCGCAGCCGGAAAACCCCCAGGAACCGACCCAAAGGCTGTGGTGACCACACCGCGTGTTGCGTCAGTGGGGATTCGAGGTCACCGCGCGGTTTTGAGACTCGTGTCGTTCTCCGAGGATGGCTCCGGCGACTGGCGCCTCCAGAGTCCCAACACCGTGCGAT